AAAAAAAAAAAGAAAACCACAAACCTGAACATTGTGAGCAGTTGAATTAGTACGGGGAGGGGAGTGACATTCTAATAGTACCCAAATGGCCGACCTGCAGCCAATCTCTTTCTGTGCCAACACTTTCTTCTTTCTTTCTTTTTTACTTTAGGTTTTTTGTCATAGGGTATGTGCACTCACTGGAGAGAGAAAAAGAGATAGAGAGAGAAGTAAAGTGAAAAAGCACCCCCTAAGGGGGATGGCCATGCCAGTTTCTTTTCCTCCATGCTCTTTTCAAGATTTGGGCACACATTCTCACACACACAGTGTGTTTTTCAAGTTTCTGTGTCTGGGAATCGAACTACAGAATCAGCTACGTAGGATCCAGTGTCTTAACCTCCATACCTTCTGCTGGCCCAGAACTCTGATTTTTTACTATTTGACTTGCCTTATTAAGATAGGTATGCTCAGCTCACTCTTCCCTCTCCCCCCTTTTTTAATTTGTAAAGAATTATCTTATTGGGGCTAGAAGGTGGCATGATGGTTAAGGGTACTGCACTCCCACATGGCCAACCATGGTTTGAGTCCCAGACCTGGTGGCTTCCTTTCTCATTTTCTCTCACTCTCTATCTCTCTCTGGTCAAATTGGAAAATAATAATAATAATTAATAAAGTTAAAATAAAATAATTTTTTAAAGTTTTAAAAAAAAACAAATTATTTTATTTATTTTAATTTGACCGGAAAGGGACAGAGAGAGAGAGACAGAGAGAGAGAGAAAGTGAGAAAGCAAACCTCCAGGTCCAGGACTCGAACCATGGTCAGCCATGTGTGAGTCTAGTGCCCTTAACCACCATGCCACCTGCCATCCCTAATTCTTCTACTTTAATACATTGTGGAGGCTTTTCATCGCTGATGGAATAAAGCCCAGGTCCCTTAGCAAGGCACAAAAGGAGGGCCCTTCACAGATGTCCCTCCTCATCTTCTGTTTTTCCTCTCTCTCATCCCGTGAGTCTTCCTCGAGCCACGCCATCTATTCCACTAGAACATCATGTACTTTCTTACCCTTTTTTTTTTGGAGAGGTTTTTGCTATAGGGCGCGTGCACTCGCCAGAAAGACAGAGACAGACAGAGAGACAGAAAGTGAGAAATCACGCCCCAAGGGGGATGGCCACGCCGCAATCCCTTCTCCTCTATTCTCCTCTCAAGATCTTGGGTACACACACACACACACACACACCTGGTGTGAGTTTAAGCCAGTGGGTCCGGGACTCGAACTGTGGGTGGCTACATGGGAGTCCATGTATATAGATATAGCCATTACTCTAACTGCTGGTCCCACTATACGTTCTTATCCTGTATCTCTGTTTATGCTGTTTTCTTTTCCTACAAGGAACCTTGTTCACCCATGTCCACCTTATGCCCTCTTTCTTCAAGGCTCAGATACAACCTTTGTTGTTGGTTTTTTTCCAGTTTCCCCTCAAACAACTCTCTCTCTCTCTTTTTTAGAGAGATTTTTGCTGTAGGGTGCATGTGCTCACTGGAGAGACATAAAGCAATAAATCACCCCCCCTCCCCCCAGGGAAGATGGCCACATCATAATCCCTTCTCCTCCTTTCTCCTCTTGGGATTTCGGGCATGCACATGCATGCACCCAGTGTGAATTTGATGCCACTGGGTTTGGGACTCGAACCAAGGTGGACAACATGGGAGTCCAGCAGTGTAACCATTATGCCTTCTGCTGGACTCCTGTAGCAAATATTGTTGGCTCTGAAAGACTTGAGTGGTGTGAATACTAAAGGAGAAACACAATCACTTCTGAACATCAATCTTTCCTGAACGCAGTATCCTATTTCCAGGAAAAATCTGTCAGAACCCCCACAAGGAGGCATGGATTGGACATTCCATTTCAAGCAGAAGTTTAGGAGTGGGGTAGCATGGAAAGGGAAGTTTGAAAAGGGGGATGTCTGGGCACATAAAGATAAGTAGCATTAGGAAGGATAGCTAAGAACACAGAAAAGAAATAGGAATAGAATAGAAGATAAAGACAGCAGAAAAGAGACGAGAAATGCATAGTGTGGCTCTGTGGTCAGGATTTTAGACTCTCCCTTGGTTTCATTGCAGGGCAGTACCAGACAATGCTTTCTCACATCGACGTTCCCAGCTCTCCTTCTGAATGAGTCCCATTTTGTATTCTTCACATCACTCTCTCCCTGAAAGGGCACGAGTGTGCTTCTTACAACTGCCTCACAATCCGTGCATTGTCTGTCACTGTTTTCCATGGAAAGCTGGGGAGGCAGCGTAGTGTGATGGAAGGACACTCACGGCACTGGGCATCCGAAGGCCAGGCACTCACCCGACTCTGACCTCAGCAGGGCACGTGGCCACCTTCACCGTAAACCGTCATGTGCAGTGGGAACAGTCATATCTGCAGGCTGCCTCACAGGGTGGTTGTAAAGATCAAAATAAGTGAAACGAGGCCAGATGGTGGTGGCCTCGTTACAGTTGATACTCTGTAAGGTATCGCGGATGGGAAGGTTCCCAGTTCAAGTCTGGAGACCTCCCTGAGTGCACCAGGTTGATGCATGCCCGTGACCCAAGGATGGCTGAAGTTAGGGGTGAACTAACTTCAGGACCTTGTTGGAGGGGCTCTCTCTGTATCTCTTTTGCTGAAGAAATAAAATAAATGTGTAACCTCTTTTTTTTTTTTTAAAGAATTGTTCTATTTAAATTTATTTACTTACTATTATATTTTATTTAACTTTATTTATTTATTTTAACTTGACCAGAGAGGGACAGACAGAGAGAGAGAAAATGAGAAAGCAAGCTGTCAGGTGCAGGACTCAAACCATGGTCAGCCATGTGGGAGTCCAGTGCCCTTCGGCCACTTGCCAGCCCCTATTTACTTATTTTTAAAAATTTGATCAGAGAGGAACACAGAGAGAGAGAATGTGAGAAAGCAAGCCAACAGGTCCAGGATGCAAACCGTGGTCAGCCATTTGGGAGTGTCCAGCACCTTAACCACTGTGCCACCTGCTGGTCCCCACATGTGTAAGCTCTTAAAAACACGAGTGAAATAATATATTTGAAAAGACTTTGTAAGCTGTTAGGTTGCTCTGCAAATGGAGGTAATATTATCTTTTAGTTGAATTATTTGTGCATTGACAACATAGCTCTGTCTCCTATTAGTAAGTCCTGTTTACAGGAAGAAGATAACAGTGTTTCTTTCCGATTAACAGCATTCTGAAGTCTCAGGAAGCTGGCCCATCTAAACGTGCATGGCTGATGAGAAAGGCATATAAGAAGCCATGGCACTCCCCTTTCAGAAAGAGCTGGAGAAATACAAGAACATCGATGAAGACGAGCTTCTCGGCAAACTCTCAGAAGAGGAACTGAAACAGCTGGAAAATGTTCTGGATGACCTGGATCCCGAGGTCAGTGACATGGGTCTGACGCAGAGTGGTTCCTGGTACGGGATCCATGGTGTGGCTTGGTTTTAGACCATCACAGAGATCCCTGGGCTCCAGATGCAGATCCCGTTTTCTTCCTTGGCTTGGGTCTGGGTCACTTAGATTTATAATCATACAGAACCTCAGAGTAACTAGAATGAGGCATGGCAAATGTATTTCTCAAAAAATAATTTAGTGGGACCAGCAGATGGTGTAATGGTTACATCGCTGGACTCCCATGTAGAGTCCTGGACCCGGTGGCTTAAAACTCATGCAAAGGGGACCAGCAGTTGGCATAATGGCTATGTTGCTGAACTCCCATATAGTTGACCGCTGTTCAAGTCCCGGACCCGGTGACTTAAACTCATGCTGGGCGCATGTGTGTGCATGCCCAAAATCCTGAGAGGAGAATGGAGGAGAAGGGATTGTGGTGTGGCCATTCCCCCAGGGGATGATTTCGCACTTTCTGTCTCGCTGTCTCTCTCTGTCTTTCTGGCGAGCGTATGCGCCCTATAGCAAAAAAAAAAAAACAACTCTCAAAAAAACTAAAAACAAAACCCCCCCTCATATCAGGCACATGTGTGTGCATGCCCAAGATCCCGAGAGGAGACTGGAGGAGAAAGGATTGCAGCATGGCCATCCCCCCTGGGGGGTGATTTCTCACTTTCTGTCTCTCCAGCAAGTGCACATGCCCTATAGCAAAAATCTCTTAAAAAAAAAAAAAAAGGAAATTAAAACAACTTAGTATCAGTGGGGAAAATATTATCCACTGATTGAAGGACTAGTTTGAGGTAGGGAAGGAAGAAGGAAAGAGAACACATCTTACTATTTTTTTTCTGAGTCACTTCTTTAGCTAGACACAGAAGCCTGGAGTTAAATAGTGTTATCGCCATTTTGTAAAGGAGGAGACACTTGGAAACTTAAGTTACATAAGATCTCATACACGTAAATATGAGAGATGGTATTTAAGCCAGGTCTTTAACCCCTAATGTGTATTTTTGAGATATAATTTCTTTCTAATGCATAAAGAACTTGAAACTTTGATGATTCTACAACAAGGGAATGACTACAATCATAATATTACATATATTTAAATGGGCCTTCTGATAGCTTTGGGAGTTCTTGAAAAGCTCCGCAAGCACTTTCTTCATCCTCGATGGCGTTCTCTTAAACTTAGAATTGAAGGTATCGGGTACAGTGATTTTTAATGTAAATAAAAAATGTAAATAAAACGAACTTATTCACATGGCATTCTGATACTCCAGACACTTTTGATATTGTGTTTACTTTTAAAAATACAAGTAGGGGCCAGCAGGTGGCATGGTGGTTGAGGTACTAGACTCCCATGTGGCTGACTGCTGTTCAAGTCCTGGACCTGGTGACTTGCTTTCTCACATTCACTCTCTCTTAGTCTTTCTCTGGCAAGTGCATGGAAATAGCAAATTTTAAAACAATAATAAAAATACATAAAAATTAAATAAAAAAGCAAAATATTCTGGTTTGGTTTTTTTTTTTGTTTTTTGGGTTTTTTTTAGGTTTTTGTCATAAGACATGTGCACTTACCAGAGAGAAACAGAGACATCCCCAGGGGGATGGCCACACCACAATCCCTCCTCCTTCATTTTTTTCCTGGTGGGATTTTAGGCATGCATACACACATAAATTTCCACCCACTAGGTCTGGGACTCGAACCATGGCTAGCCAAGTGGGAGTCTAGCGCCTTGACCATCACGCCACCTGCTGGCCTCTTCTTTCTTTTTTGTTTTTTGACTTAAGGAAGGAATGTGAAAAGTTAAGCAGGTAGGTGTTGATGTCTTCCGTGATGTTCACTTGCCTGCTTGGGTGTTTTTGCACCACAGAGGTTAGCAATAAGAGTGTAGCCACACTGGCTCCTGTTAGGGTCCGCATATGCCCGCCTGGGAGCGCTTGCATGCAGACCTAGGCGACCCTAAGTGTGATCTACTTGCAAAAAGCCTCTCACCACCACGTTCTAGAAGGCGGCTATGGAAGACTCAAGCTGCTCCAACCTCCAAGCTCTGCTTGAGCTCACTGGGAACCCTCCTCCCAGCACAGATTGTGCCCCTGAGTTGTGCCAGAGACCCCAGCCCGCAGCTCACACCCACCTCTGCATAGCTGTCCTTCTCCCTGTCCCCCTGCCCTTCCTAGCAAGTGTCAGCCCAGCAGACAGCCTTCCTTCCTGCTCACACCACTGTCTTACCAGAGTGCGATGCTGCCGGCTGGGTTCCGACAGAAAGACCAGACGCAGAAAGCTGCCACTGGCCCGTTCGACCGCGAGCACCTCCTCATGTACCTGGAGAAGGAAGCTTTGGAGCAGAAAGACAGAGAGGACTTTGTGCCCTTCACTGGGGAAAAGAAAGGTAAGGCCTAGAGGTAGTGGGTCCTGAGACGAAGGCACTGTTAATGTGTTATGGGGGGTCGAGCAAGGGGACTGACCTGAGGATGAGAAATAAGCCCATGGATTGGATACAGCATGGAAAAGAGACATGGAGCCAGCCCTATGTCCTGGTAGTTAAATGAGCCAGATCCCACATGGCTGCCTGTAGTTCAAATCAGCCCTGGTGGCTTGAAGAGCATGTCGGGCACCTGTGTGCGTGCGTGTGCCCAAGGTCCCAACAGGGTGGACGAATGGAAGGGGAGGGCTGGCAATATGACCACGCCCTGTTCTGTTGTAATCTCTCCCAGCACTCCCTTCTCTGTCTCTCAGCTTCTGGCGAGTGCATGTACCCTCTGGCAGTTAAGAAAATGAATTATGGGAACCAACAGATGGCAGAGTGGTTACATTGCTGGATTCCCACATAGTCGACTGTGGTTCGAGTCCCAGACCTGGTGGCTAAAAACTCATGCTGGGCACATGTGTATGCGTACCCAAAATCCTAAGAAGAGAACAGAGGAGAAAGGGTCATGGTGTGGCCATCCTCCCAGGGGATGTCTCTCTGTCTCTCCAGCAAGTGCATGTACCCTATAGCAAAAATCTTACCCCAAAAATGTGCTGGGTTAATGCCACTGAGAATGTCACTAAGGGGTCGGCCCTGCAGCCTAGCAGTGAAGGGAGTTGGCTTTCACATGACCAACCATGGTTTCAATCCGGGCCCCAGTGGCTTGAAAACATGCCAGGGTGAGGGGTGTGTCTTATAGTCCCAGAATCCTGACAAGATAGAGAAATGAAGGAGAAGGGTTTATAGTATGACCACACCCTGCTGGGAGATGCTTTCTCCCTGTCCCTCTATCTCTCTGTCCGTCTGTCTCTCCATCACTCTCTGGTGAGTGCAAGCACCCTCTGACAATAATTTAAAAAAAAAAAAAAAGAGAGAGACAGAACATCATTAAGGAAGTCAAGGTGGGCCTGGCCCTGTGGTATAGCTGGGTAAGCCCCATGCAGGGGGGGCCGGAGTCCACAAGGCTGATGCTGTTTGAATCTTAGCCCCAACAACTGGAAAAACGTGGCGGGCGTGTGCACACGTGTGCACTGCATGCTCAAAATCCCGGCGAGGAGCAGAAATGGCGGAAAAGGATTGCGGCCTGACCACATCCCACGTAGGGGGTGGGACGGTGCTGTGCCTCTCTCTCTTTCTCTCTGGTGAGCACACATGCCCTCTAGCAATACCGAAAAAAAAAAAAAGGCAATGGAACAGTGACAAATTGGTCAAATAACCCAAGATTATGGGAGAAATATGGGACAGTTTCTATGGCAGCATAACTGCTCTTGGGCTCACTTCATGAAAGAAAAAAGTTATAATGTCAAATCTTCAATAAACTCCCAATGAACATCAAGTATTTGGCAAGTGACAGCATAATAAGGCTATTTTCTTGTTCTGGGAGTGGACGTCTGGGAGTGGCTATAGTAAATCATCTCTTGATCCAGGTTAATCTCCAGACGACCCCCAGGGAGTTCGGGCGTGCAGGAGCTGTCTGAGTAACAAATGGAGATTTAAAGGGGTCTGTAGTTGCACAGTGCAGCTTAGGAGGAGGTTGAGAAGTAACACAGTGAAACAAAATGAGCGGGGAGCAAGCTTTCAAACGGAGCAGGGGTTTGGAGCTATGCAGGGCTGCCGGACGGACCAGCGACGTGGCCTGGAAGTGGTGGACCTGGGGACATAGCTACCTCTCTAGGGTGCACCAAAACATGCCTGATTTTCAGGAAAAGGTCTTGGAGATTGGGAGGTCCGCATTCCTGTCACCACTCCCTCCTTTGTCCCGTGGGTTGGATTCCATTTATTTTGCCCCCTACTCACTTCTGAGAATGCTGATATTTGAGTCCTACTCCCGAGCCCAGACTCCGGGACGGCGGGTCACATGGCTGGGAGGACGGCGCAGCACCTGCTCTTGGCCTGTAGCCCATACACATCCCTGGTGTGCAGTGGCTGCTCACGTTACCAGCATATTCCAAAGACATCTTCGCAACTGCCCAGAGCTACCCACGTTCTTTTCCAGACCCTCCCAGCTTTTGACTCAGTGTCTGTCTTTTCTGGAGTTGCTCTGACTTCTTTTTTTTTGTTACAAAGATTTATTTATTTATTCATCTATTCATTTGTTGTCCTTTTCATTGGGCCCAGGACTTGAACTGCAGTTAGCCATGTGGGAAATCCAACACCTTAACCACCACACCACCAGCTAGCCCCTGCTGCTCTTACTTCTTGGACATGATCTTAGACATTGATTTCTTCCATTTAACCTTCAGAGTCCCCTAAAGACTCACCTCGCTTGTCATTGTCACCTGGGGTAGGACAGACAGCTGGCTCCAGCTTCAGCCAGCTGGCCCCAGGCTCCTTTCAGGTCTTGGCTAGCCTGGCCCAGCCTACTCCTGTTGGAAAGGAAAGGGTCAAACCCAAAGTCACTGACTCCCATGGCAACGGTCCCGGAGACTGCCCCGATTACAGAGGCTGTGCTTGCCCTGATGGCTTACCATTTTTATCAAGTGGCTGGAGAAGAGAACAGGAGCCAGCAGAGCCAGGCACCCCAAAGAGGGGAAAGAATGACAGTACCTGTGGCTAGCCAGGGGCATCCTGGCAACAAGGTCTGCTCGCTGACATACGTCCCGCTGCCTGCCTGGGCACCACATGGGCCGCCATGTTTCCCAGGAAGAAGGAAAAGATACTGGGAAACAAAGTAGAAGGACAGCCAGAAGATAACGATGGGGAAAGAAGATAACCAATCAGTAACAGCTCGAACTCTAGAGCTTAATTTCATAGTATCTGTAGACTGAAACGTTTTCTTTCTTGGATCTTGGATCTAGGCAAAATAAGAGTTCTAAATTATTCTTCCCTAATACTATTTAGGATAATCACCCTAGGGCCAGCAGGAGGCGTCGTGGTTAAGGCACTGGACATGGCCAACTGTGGTTCGAGTCCCGGACCCAGAGGATTGAAACTCACACTGGCACATGTGTGTGTGTGCCCAAGATCGCAGGAGGAGAATGGAGAAGGGATTGTGATGTGGCCATCCCTCCTGGGGGGTGTGTCCTCTCTTTCTCTCTGTTTCTTCAGTGAGTCCAAATGTCTATAGCAAAAATCTTTCTTTTAAAAAAAGGATTATCATCCTAAACAAGAGGCACACAGGTGGCCTGAAAGTATAGGTATTCAGGTCAACTGCTGATGCACCCCCATTTTCTGGGGATCCAACCAAATGACAGATTCTAAGCAAAAAATCTGGGCCAAGGAGTGAAGTCTAGCTCAGGAACGTGAGATACTCTCAGAATCGAGCGTGAGAGGTCCCAGGAGAGGATGGAGACTCCAGACGTAGCATTGTCATGGTCAGCGATCCAGTTGAAGGGAGAAAACGCTTGGGGATTACTAAATTGTCTCTCAGGAGCCCCTGGTGCTATTTGGATGAACTTGCCCCTATATTTGCAGGGGTTCAAGACAAGAACACAACAGAAGGTCACGTAGCATTTTTTCCCCAAACGTTTAAGATCTAGCAAACCTTTAAAATATGTCATACTGTCAGGATGGAAGAGCTGATTAGCATTGTGTAAGATCCTTGGTTCTTTACGTCCAGATCTCTCAGATTAGAGCCCCGTTCTGAGACACAAAAGGCAAAACCACAAACGCTTGTAGGAAAAGGGAAGTTTTAATAGGAAAGTGAGGATTTTTAATAAAAAAGAAATATACCTCCATGCTTAAGGCATGCAGGTGGGCAGGTGCTGGAGAAGGACAGTTCAGTGGGCATGGGTGTACGTGCTGCATTTATTCCAAGAGTTGACAGTGAACATTTAGCAGGGGAAGGTCTGTCATAGTATCTGGCAATTTGTTTGAATTTGCAGGCTTTTTCCTGCGCTTGTGTATCTCTCTCACAGGTAAGGAGTTCAGTGACCTAATCGCGCATGCTCAGGGTGGACTTCGACGAGAGGAGCATCCTTATTTGGATGAATTGCCCGATCAGTTTATTGCCCCAGTGGGAATCAGGATATTGACCAAAACGTCTTGTTGGAGTGGGTTCTTTTGTATTTATGAGGAATGATAAGAGGGAAATTAATAACCATCCCTATGTGCCTTTCTCAGGTAGTAAAGAAGAAAAATGAGATCTGCCTCACCTTCTCAGTGCCAGGAGCTAGGTGGGAGGAAGGCATTTTCACGGAGGGTCTGGTTATAACTCCTGATAAGTTGTGATTGATGTGGCCGGTGTCCTGCTATTTTCTTAGGACTGCCTGCTCATTTCTAGCTAACTGCCTGTCGCAAAACCCTCCAACAAATCTACCTAGGCCAGTGTTTGTAGACTTCCAAGAGTTCTGTGCAGGGGGACATCCCATGCTTCCAGGGCCTCAGGCATGCATGTCAGACACGTCCTGGAGCTTCATTCATACTCCCCCACAAAGAGCCTACCATTGCCCTGGGGTGCATACCCCAGTAGCACCCCGCCTTTGGGAAGATTGACATGAAAGCAGCTCAGGTGGACTCCAAGAGCAGGCTTGGGTTTTCTGGGCATGAAATTCCGAAGTCTCTAGAGTGGCCTAACAGGTGGCCCATATTCTGGATTGGGATGTCCCTTTTGCCCCATGGCTTCTTTCTGGGCTGGGAGAGGTACAGCCAGAGCAATACCCAAGTGGGGTCTTCTACAGTCTAGGACCCTGGCAAGGCCCTGCTGTTCAGGCCTAGTGTTGCTGTGGTGGGGAGGGAGAAGCCACCTTTTCCTTCTTTTTTGTTGTTGTGCTGTTTTTAACTACCAGAGGATACATATGCTCACCAGAAAGAGATAGACAAAGAAGAGGGAGAGGGGGAAAGTCCCCCGGTGGGACATGGTCACTCTATAATCCCGTCTCCACCATTTCTCCATCCTGAAGGATTTTTAGGCATGGACACCTGGTTGGTGTGATTTTCAAGTCACTGGGGCTGGGGTTCTAACCATGGTTGGCCATGTGGGATCTGGCTCCCTTAACCACTGGCTCCCTTAACCACTGGGCTAAAGGGGCAGTCCCTCTTTATTTTAAAGACTGTAGGCCCAGACCTCTCTGGCAGAATGCAGGATTCTTCTGCAATGTTCCTTCCCTCAAATAATGGATCACTGATGTTGGCAGCACCCCAGCAATGCAGGAATCTCAGCTGGATGTGAAATGGCTTCTTGACACAGCTCTTAATGGCTAGAACGTTCTCTCTACTCAGTCCACTTACCCTAACAATAAGGCGGTAGCTCACAGTATTTTCTCTTTTCCTTCTGATTTAAAGGAAGAGTCTTTATCCCCAAAGAAAAGCCTGTAGAAACTCGTAAAGAAGAAAAAGTGACTCTTGATCCAGAACTGGAAGAAGCTTTGGCCAGCGCGTCTGACACTGAACTCTACGATCTTGCAGGTCAGTCTTGAGCTCCTGGTACTTTCCGGTCTGTCTCTGTGACCTCCAGGCACGTGCTGGTATCCAGGGCAGCGCTGTCTGAGTTTCTCGTAGCTACTGATTACTGTTGTGATTCCAGGCTCGCTTTAGCCACAATACAGCTGTGACTTTATGTGATGCAGATGACTTAATGACTCTGAGCAAATTTTTTTTTTAGGTCTTTGCCTTAGGGCACATGCACTCAGTGAGGACAGAAAGAGAAAGAGAGAGCGGGAAAGCGAGAAATCACCCTTCCAGAGGGGATAGTCATGCTGAAACCCCTTCTCCTACCTTCTCCTCCTGGGATTTGGGGCATGCACGTACACACACCCAGTCTGATTTTTAAGCCACCAGGTCCAGGACTCAAACCATGGTCAGCCATGTGGGAGTCCAGCAATGTAACCGCTACACCATCTGCTGGCCCCTGAGGAAATCTTATTTGGTGCTATTGCAATTGTAAAATACCCAAATAATACTCATCCTACAAAATTCAAAAGTTACTGTGAGAAATCATATAGAACAAGTATGAAGGAAAATGTAAAGAATAAAATATCAGGCCTTATGCTTTCTAAGGGGCTTTCATAGTTGGCATTTGATTGCATTTTGTCACGTTTTATCACCTCAAAATTTGCATTCAGTTCTCTTTCTTCCCCAGGCACCCTTTCATTTTGATTCACGGTAAGAGCTCTATTAGCCTTCTAATTTTCCTGACAATGGCCTCACTAGTGACCATCAGCAGCAGCATTGTTATTATTTTAATTGATTTCACGTGCAGATGGAAAAGGCTCAGTTAGTATAAAGGAGTATTTAGTGAAAAGGAAGTCACTCTGATTCCTAGGCCTTCTCTCGTAGCCTTCTTTAGAAAGATACCCTGGGTGAACCAGTATATTTGTGTGTTAAATCTTCCCCCAACACAGGTTAGTAGATCACCACAGGCTAGAAGAGCTTTAAAAAGCTGTTCACAGCTTCAGCAAGAATTCTCATTTTGGAGGCCAGCAGGTGGCTTGGTGGTTAAGAACATTGGACTCCCACATGGCTGACTACGGTTTGCTTTCTAACTTTCTCTCACTCTGCCCCTCTCTGGTCAAATTAAAATAAATAAAGTTAAATAAAACAATTATTTAAAAAAAAAGAATTCTCATCTTTATTGGGACATTGGAAAAGTCATGTTGCATTTTTGCATAGAATAACATAGAAAAATACATCATGACTTTTCTGATGATCCAGTATTTCACTGCAAGGTGCACATAGTAATGATCTCCTCCTCCCTAGAAGAACCAGCTGTGACTGCTAATACACACCAAATGTCTCTGCTGCCTTGTCATTCCTTCTGTGGTTTGGTCAGCAGCAATATTAAATGCATCTGTTCGAACCCCTCTGAGAGGTCCCTGCAGGAATTGAGGCACCTGGGTGACGGGTTGTCTTAGTCCTGTGGTTACTGTGGAGGGATCCTATCATGGTTACTCCCTCCTCCCAAGGGTGGCCTCATGGTCTCTGCTGGAATTGCCCCAGGAGAGTATATATACAGGGCCAGGCTTGAATTCCCAGGAAATACCTGAGAAAGAAAGGAGAAAAACACCCATCTCCCTGGCTGGCTGTAGCCCAGCAGGGTCACCGTACTGCTGGCCTAGAGACTGGAGCTTGCCAAGCTTCGTAGAAACAGCACCAAAACAGGGTGGTGGGGATTGGCTCACTAGCCAGATCCACAGAAAACAGATAAACCAAAAATCGAAACCTAATGATAGGAGCTACATTGTAATTAGAAGCTTGGGGAGTATGGGGCCAGAGTAAGAAGATATGTTTGTTGTACCGTCCGAGTGGTCTCCAGGGTGTTTATCAAATAGGACCCCTTTGTCCTGGGCTATGCCTGCGTCCATGACAGTTTTATTAACCTAATGAGAATTTTTTTCAAAGAATTGTTTAATTTTTTTATTAATACATTTATTTCTTATTTAACCAGAGAGAGAGACAGAGAGGGAAAGTGAGAAGGCAAGCCACCAGGTTCAGGACTTGAACCGTGGTCAGCCATGTGGGAGTGTCCAGCACCTAAACTGCCATTGCCACCTGCTGGTCCCGAATCTGATGAGAATTTGTAAAGCACTTAGAAAAGTATCTAGATACATAGGATGTCATTTAACCTTTATATAAGGAAAGTACAATTACTATCCCTATTTTACAGATGAGGAAGGGCATTTAGTAACTTCCTAAATCCTGAGTCAAGAGTCAACTCTGACGATTGCTCCGGGGTCCCCGCTCGTTCTATGTCTTTGCCCTCTCTCTTGCTGGCTGACTCCTTTCCTCCCTCTTGTATGTAGGACTGTAGAGCTGATGAGGATCTCGAAGGTGACAGGCTCCTCTGTCCCTGCTGCAGGATTATTCTCTCACCTGCAGCCCTCCTCCAGGTGGCCGGTCTCACCTGTAATTTAATTCGCTAAGGGAAATCTATGTGGCAGTGTTGTCTGCCTGCTCGGCGTTCATCACCCCGTGTTGTCTGCTGCGTACTCTGCTGCCTCCTGGTGCAAGTTCCCCGCATTGCAGGAGGTTAAAATCTCCATGTGCTTAACTGACTTTTAGTGATGTCTCTTCTACTGTCCACCCTGGGGTGCTCTTGATGGGAAAGGACAACTCATTTCAGTGGGGAGAGGTAGGAGAGACGCGAAGGCTTACACGGAAAGAGGCACATGATCTTTCTATATTTGCTCCTTGAAAAATATGTACAGTAATGTATACAATGTAAGATCTTAATTCTTAGACCCAGTCCATCTTCTCTTTTCTCAGATGAGAACAACTGAAGGATTGATTCTCCTTAGCCAAAAGGTCTGGATATAACTAAACTGGCATTCTTCAGATCCCAAATGATCCCATATATTTAGACATAGGAAGGCATGCAGAAATTTTTGGTGGCCTTGGAAGGAGGGTTTTTGTAAATTTATTTAACACTATCCACGGAACATACCCTGTACAAAAGGGGAGTGCAGAGATTTATTTTTATGATGTAAAGAATTGTCTTCAAGGGGCAGGTTGATAACAGAGACGTCCTAACATGCTTCTCCAAACTTAATACTCATTCATACACTGTTTTTGTTTTCAGCTGTCCTCGGAGTACACAATTTGCTCAACAATCCAAAGTTTGATGAAGAAACAGCCAATAATAAAGGTGGCAAAGGACCTGTAAGAAGTAAGTTGACGCGGGATCTGTAATTTTGTGACGCTTTAAAGCCTCCAGGTGTTGCTGGCCAAAGAGAAGCCTCTGACTTGCAGGGTTTGCCCTGTGTCGCTTCCCCAGGGACCTTTGGGCTCTGAGCAATCAAACCAGACCAGAGTAGCTGCTAGGAGGTGACATGCTACTTCTGGCATGTACGTGGCACCCGCGCGCTGTCCGTGCACACTTTCTGGGCAGGTCCGATCAGTCAGAAGATAAGGGTGCTATAAAAAGTGTCCGTGGTCAGGTCCTAATGCAATGCTTATTGTTTCTAAGCATTTTTTAAAAAATAGTTTTTGCCATAGGGCATTGTGCTTGCTGGAGAGATAATGAGAAGGAACCCTCCTCCCCCTGGGGGGGGTGGGTATGCCATAATCTCTTTTCCTCCATTCTCCTCCTGGGATTGGGGATAGCATGTGCACACACACGCACACACACACACACCTACACTCCTGGCGTGATTTTCAATCCACCAGGCCCAGGACTTGAACCACAGTTGGCCATGTGGGAGTCCAGCTTCTTAACCAGTATACCACCTGCTGACCCCTCTAACTATATTTTATTTTGTTTTATTTTTAATTTTTTTGGAGAGGTTTTTGTTTGTTTGTTTGTTTGTTTGTTTGTTTGTTTTTTGCTATAGGGCACGTGCGCTCACCAGACAGACTGAGAGAGAGACAGAAAGTGAGAAATCACCCCCAGGGGGGATGGCCAGGACGTAATCCCTTCTCTTCCATTCTCCTCTCAGGATCTTAGGCACGCACACACACGCGCCTGGCATGAGTTTAAGCCACCAGGTCCAGGACTTGAACCACAGTCGACTATGTGGGAATCCAGCGACATAGCCATTATGCTAACTGCTGGTCCCCTAAGTATATTTTAAACAACTGTGACAGTTTGAATAATTTCCTCCTCTATTTGAGTGTCCTTTTGTCCCTGTAATGAATTTGAATATCTACTTTCCCCAGAAAACATGGGAGACACAGTGACATTGACTTACTGCGCAGCACGTCCCTGGCCACTGTGCTCTGTGTGTGAGAGGTGGCTACACTGTCCTTGCCGCTCATCCATCAGTTATCTGTGAATACCTGCTACACACTGGGAATGTTCCAGGCTTAGGTGCAAAGATAGGCATAACTTATCTGTCCAGAAGAGGGATAGACCCATATTTAGCTGCTGTGAAAATATACACAAGTAGGTTTTCTTAGGTTAATTTCTATTTTATCCTCTGACAGAGACCTGGAAGATGCTTTCTATTCTCAATAACATATTTGTGAACAATCGCTTACAGAGAGTAAAGTAATTTAGCCAAAGAGCAATGTTCTTTTTATTTTTTTCTTTCTGTTTTCTTATGCATATCGGAAAAAGGCTGGTCTATTTGAGCTTCAGTATCAGAGAGTAACCCGACAGTATGTTTGCTTTTCACTATCTGATACGTCACCTTCTGGCCCGTTATACAGACACACAGATATCAGTAATGTTTCTTCAAATTGTAATCTCTTATCAGACTTGTGGGTTCACCTATTTTTTTTTTAATTAAAAATTTTTTTTTTTTTTTTAGATTTCTGCCATAGGGCACCTGTTCTCACAAGAGAGAGACAGGAACAGAGAGAGAGGGAAAGTAAGAAATTGCCCCCAGGGATCAGCAATTAGCGTAATGGCTATATCGCTGGACTCCCATGTAGTCAACCATGATTCCAGTCCTGGACCCAGTGGCTTAAACTCACGCCGGGCACGTGTACGTGCGTGCCCAAGATCCCAAGAGGAGAATGGAGGAGAAGGGATTGCGGTGTGGCCATCCCCCCCGGGGGGTGATTTCTTGCTTTCTGTCTCTCTCTCTGTCCTCCTGGCGAATGCACACGCCCTATAGCGAAAAACCTCTCCAAAAAAAGAAAAAGAAAAAGAAATTGCCCCCCAGAGGGGCTGGCCACACCACAATCCCCTGAGTCAGAAAGTGTGCATATTTAGAATTCTGATAGACAATACCAAGTTACTCTCCAAAAAACCTGTATCAGTTTGCATTCCCACCAATATCATCTGGAGATGCTTTTTCCTACACATTGCTGCCAACTCTAAATGTTACCACTTTTTACATTTTTTTGGTTAATGAAATAGTATCTTATTTTTTAATTTCAAAGTTTATTTACTTTTTTTTCATAGAAAGAGATTTTTGCTATAGGGAGCATGTACTCACTGGAGAGATAGAGTCAGAGAGACATAAAGTGAGAAGTCACCCCTCAGGAGAGATGGACATGCTGCAATCCTCTCTCTTCTATTCTCCTCTTGGGATCCTGGGCACACACAGGCACCTGGTGTAAATCTCAAGCTGCCGAGTCCAGGACTCAAACAGCGGCTGACTGCATTGGAATCCAGCAACATAACCATTATGCCGTCTGCTGGTCCCCAGAGTTGAATTTCTTTATTTATTTTTTGATTGAGTGAGAGTTTTTTTAGAGAGAGATTTTTGCCATGGAGCACGTGTGTTTGCCAGAAAGAGAGAGACAGAGACTGAAAGTGAAGACTCACCCCCCCACACCACAATCCCTTCTCCATTCTCCTCTCGGGATTTTGGGCACGCACAAGCACCTAGCATGAATTTCAAGCCGCTGGGTCTGGGACTTGAACTGTGGTTGGCCATGTGGGAGTTCAGCAATGTAACCATTACACATCTGGTGGTCCCAAGTGGGAGAATCTCATGAGCGTAGCATTTGTTCATTTTTCACTGGACTGTCTTGCTGATTTTAGGCGCTCCATGTGTATTGACATCTTTAACCCTTTGGATAGTTTATGTGTGCCAAATATTTTCTGTTCACCGCTTTTGAAAATTCTTCTGTTCTTTTTCTTGCTCCTCCCATGCTTTGCTCAAAACTAATGTTTCAAAATGGAAATCTGGGAGACCAGTAGATGGCGTAATGGTTACATCGCTAGACCCCACATAGTTGACTATGGTTCGAGTTCCAGACCCGGTGGCTTAAAACTCACACAGGGCACGTGTGTGTGTGTGTGTGTGTGTGTGTGTGTGTGTGTGTGTGTGTGTGTGTGTGCATGTCCAAAATCCTGAGAGGAGAATGGAGGAGAGGGGATTGCATCATGGCCATCCCCTCTGGGGGGGGTGATTTCTTGTTTTCGGTCTCTCGGTCTCTTCAGTGAGCACATGTGCCCTATAGCAAAAACAAAACAAACAAACAAACAAAAAACCTCTCTAAAAAAATGGAAATCTGAGGGGGGAAAGGTATGATCAAGAGGCCAGATGGGTATTCAAGTTGGGACAACAAAGAGAATGGTTATGGTTTCTTTTTTTGCATCTCAGATCCTGTGATCTGGTGAGCATAGTCTGGAGAAGGTCCATATGGAGCAGCCCTAACTGCCCATGAGTATTTCGAGGGTTGAGATGTGACGTGAGGCCTCCTGCACTTCTGGCTGCATGTGGTATCTTAGGCAATTCTATGAGAATTTTCCTTACAGTTGAGAAACAGCAATCTTCCAAACCATAGCTCAGAACTGTGTCACTTCCATGCTTAATTGAGAATCAGCTTACAATCACTGATATTATAATATTATTGGAATCAGCATATGAAAGAACTATCATTTGTTGTTCTCTCTGATTTTGATAGGAGAGCCCTTGCATTTTCTTTTTAAGATTAAACTTGTTGGGAACCAGCAGTTAGCGTAATGGCTATGTCACTGGACTCCCATGTAGTCGACCACGGTTCGCGTCCCGGACCCGGTGGCTTAAAACTCATGCCTGGTGCGTGTGCGTGCATGCCCAAGATCCCAAGAGGAAAATGGAGGAGAAGGGATTGTGGCATGGCCATCCCCTCTGGGGAGGTGATTTCTCGCTTTCTGTCTCTATGTCTCTCTGTCTGTCTGGCGAGCGTACGCGCCCTATAGCGAAAAACTTCTCCAAAAAAAAAAAAAAAGATTAAACTTGTGTTTTAGATGTGGTCAAAGGTGAAAAGGTCAAGCCAGTATTTGAGGAGCCACCTAATCCCACAAATGTGGAAATAAGTCTGCAGCAGATGAAAACCAACGATCCCAGCCTGCAAGAAGTCAACCTCAACAACATTAAGGTATGTCATTACGGTTGTGACTGTCCTGTTACTTTATCATAAGGTCAAGAAACTCACTAGCCCTGACTGATGGCCTGTGTCCTCACCTATTTCAGTCCTTCGTAATTACTGATCTTTGAGGCAAGAGAGTCTATTCCAAAAAAGTGGGTTTTAAAAAAGAGTGATTTTTTAGAATTCGTTGACAAGGATAAACATTCTCAAATTGAACATATTACATTAGTTGTATCTATTGATGAGTAAGTAATAAGTTACTATTATATAAAACTTAGGGGCTTTGAACAGCAAATATTAATTACTTTTTGGTTTGTTTTTTAAAAGTGTATTGATTTGTTTTTTCCAAGAGAGAAACAGAGTGACTGGTACTCCCAACAGGGTCCCCATGCCATGATCCACCCCCTAGTCCCAACCAGTC